ATAACGAAATTTTATTTTTTTTACTATTTAAATCGATATATCAAGAAAAACTCATTTTTCCGAATTCTTATTATAACGAATCAAAATCACTAAACCAAAAGGTTCGTTATATCGAGTTCTGACTGTATAAAAATGTATTTAATATTATATTAAAATTAAGTTATAATTTATAAAAACTGTATTTAATACTTTTCTTCAAGGTATTAAGTTCAAACAAGTTGCATTTAATATATAGATGTATAAGTTCTACTTTAGTTATTTAATGATATTAATAGTATTATTTTCTAATTTTCTAATTTTCTTATTAATTAGTATCATGAATTATAAAATTAGTTATTTTATATATTGAATTATAGAAGAAATATTATTTAAAAATAGTCTTTATTATTATTATTAATTGTAAATTACTTAATGAATTAATACTATTTAATAAATTGAAAAAGATTATTATACATAAAAAAATTGCAGCTATCTATTATGGTAATATAATCTAAAAATATTATTACTTTATACTTATTAAGACTCTATTATATTATTATATACAGTTTGATAGAATCTTGAAAATTGTAATTTAGTATAAAAAAGTTACCAAACTAATTATTAATGTATTTAATGCATTTCTTACTATTGATGAATATTCTGAAGTATTTATAACAGATGAAACCCATAAAATTGTGGAGAAAGCATTCATTATTTACATTCATATTGTTAACAACCACATGAATGTTTTTTTACATTTGTTATATTTACGTCAAACATAAGTTATTGCGTCACTGTATCATAAATGAAAATAATTTTTAAAGAAAATTTTTGTTATCGTTATTTTTAAAAAAATAAAAAAAAAGTATTTCAATCAATTAACAAATCTAATTACATCATTTTACTCTAATTATTTTCTTGTTCATCCTTGTTTGGCATCATATGAGTGTCCATAGATTACATTTTTTGTATGAAAATATTTTTCAAATGATTAAACACTGCTTTGTATCTTACTTTCCACACTATTGAAATCGTATTTAATCCTCTCAGCTAGAGCGACATATACTATACGCGGCTGGTTTAAAATGGTTATATAGTTGACGAAAAGGATTGGAAGGATGTTAAGGAGCAATTATTTTGCTTCATGTTCAGGTTACCGCACCTTCTACAATGAATAGCAGCTGGGTTGACCCAATATAGGACGTTGGATTTGAATTTATGATGTGAGGCTTTACATTTGGAGATGTTCGATCCTGATGGAGTTCACTTTTGGTTATATAACCAGTTAGAAGATTTAATGTTATGATCATTGATATCGAACAAAAATTTAGAAACTAGAAAGAAAAATAATACCATCGTGAATGTATCCAACCATTTCCATCTCTTTCCACTTTCTTCTTCATGTCCCAATTTGTGCTTTCACAGGCTAACAAGCAAATCTCGCGTCATTTTCGGAAGCTTAAGACTCGATTCATTAAGTCATTTTGTTCCATGCCGTCCCTCGTAATGTCTACTAGCTTCTGAACCTCTGAATTCAAGTCTTATTCCTCCAGAAGACTTTTGGGAGATTGCATCCCCCCTTTACGAGAATATATTATACGACTGCGATTCTCTCGTTCTGAAATTTCGAGGCTTGTTAATTCGTCTCAAGTTTTAAAATTTATGTTACCGTAAAGCGCGCTCTATAGTACCCCCCTGTGTATAATGACCCCCTCCTTCTGGAGCAGCTTAGAATGTAAAAT